TACTTATGAAATTGAAAGAGCTGAATATAAAAATTTTTATCCTTTATCTAAACTACATTTGAATGAACCAAACAAAAAAACTGAATTTAATATTGATTTTGGTGATGGATTTTGTTCATCTAAGTTTCAATTTTATATTTCAGGATCATTAAAAAAATCTGATGATAAAGACTATAGTGCTACAGATAATGTAAAGTTGATTAATAATTTTATACCATTCTTATTTTCAAAAATTGAAATTAGAAAACATAATAAATTAATTGAGGAAATTGAATATCCTGGACAATTGAGTACAATAAAAGGTACTGTTACTTATTCAAAAACAGAAGCAGTATCCAACATTTGTAATGGATTTCAATCAGATTTCAAAAAAACATTTGAAGCTGTGGGTAATCTATCACATTTTGGATTAGGTTTCTTTGAAAATGTTAATGTTCCAATATACAAAGGAGGATTCAATATATGTTTTGTTAGATCTGAAGATAATGATGCTATTTTTAGATGGAAAACTAAAAAAGTTGATGGAACTTTTGATGATACTACATTACCAGGTGTTGGAAAAGTAATTATTGATGACTTTTTTATTAGAGTTCCAATAATTGAGTATAAAACTACAAGTAAAATTCAATATATTAATGAAATAACTAAAAAAGAAAAAATACTATTTCACTTTAATCATTGGCAATGTATTGAACAAAAGACAATAACTGGAAAAACAGTTAGTTTTGATATAACAAATATTTATCGAAACATCTATAATCCAAAATTTATAATAATTAGTTTTCAAAAAGGTAGAACTAATGATCAATTATATGACACTTCAAAATTTGATAGTATGTATATTAAAAATATTAGAGTAAAATTAAATGGTCACTATTATCCTGATGAATTAATGAATCTAGATATAAATAATGGAAAATTTAGAATTGTATATCAAATGTATCAAGATTATAAAAAGGTTTATTATAACAATAGTGAAATGTATTATGATCCAACAGAATTCATTGAAAATAGACCATTGTATGTGATTGATACAACAAAAACTCCTGTTAATATTTCTGGTTCAAAGAATGATATTATTATAAATATGGATTTTGATTATGATATAACTGTTGCTAGTAAAACTAATTGCTATGTGGTTGTTGTGTCTGAAAGATTATTAGAGTATAATGTGATTAAAAATGATATAACTGAAATCAAATAAAATTATTATAAAACCACCATTTATTTACTACTTTTTGACATATTTTTCAAAATATTATTATATTTTATGAATAATGAGACTACTATTGTTAATTTAAAATTTGTTTCATAAAAAAATATTAATAAATAAAAATTTTTGATTTTCAAGGTCACAAGAAATAAATATTTTAAATTTTATTATTTAATAAATTTGTACTTACCTTATAGATATATCATACCAAATTTCATGAAAATATCTTTAAAAACAAAGAAGTTATTAAGGTTTTTAGTTTAAGGGTAGTTCACCCTAAATTGGAAAATTTTAGTAAAAACATTGATTTTAAACATAATTTTCATAATTTTTAAGTTTTAGAATTATTCAATAATTTTTTACATTTTTATAAATAAAATACAAAATAAGGGATGAAACTACCCTTAACATAAGTCAAAAACATTCTTTAATATTCAATGAGTGTATGTTTCAAATTTGGTTAAGATTGGTTTAAAAACACTCAAGTTATAACATACAATATATTTCAAAAAATTTCATTCGATACTAACAATCGAATAATAAGTTGAAACCTTCGATATTAACAGTTAAATTACTGAATAGGAATTCAAAATAACTCACACAAACATAAACAAATAATATTTACTGAACATTTCAGATTTATCAAAGCGTGCATTCAATGCACGCTTTCGTTGAACATCATTTGGTTTGGCAAAAAAAAAAACTGTCAAATAAAACAGCACAGTCACTTAAATTTTTCTACACAAAATATTTACTGTACAATTCAGATTTATCAAAGCGTGCTTTAGAAGCACACTGTCCTTGAATATCATATGGTTTGGCAAAAAACTATCAAACAAAGCAGCAATCACTTGAACTTGAAAATTCTGATTGTTTTATAAACAAGTTATGATTACAAACAATAAAAATAGTCTATAAATAGTTCAATAAATCACTTTTACTTATTAAAATATTAGTTAAAAACACTTGAAAAATCCAAATATGGTGATGAACACTTCAAACACATTTCACTTCACAACACGATAGTTTCACAATTTTCATAGTTAATCTTCTTTATACTTAATCTTCAATTAATAAATAATAAGCTTTTACCATCAATAAACTCTTATTTTAAGTATTTCTTCATAAAACAGAATGAGAATAAATGTAGAAAATCAACCACACCCAAATTAGCTGATGTAATGACTTGGCACTTTTTTTTGTTAAATCAGCTAGTTTCATTCAGTAACTATTTAGCATAAGATTTTAAGCATTGATTATACATTTTAAGCATTAATTATAAAATACTTTTCAATTAGTTTAGATAAATCAAAATAATTATTTTAATCCACACTGCAATTTACTAACATTCAACTGGTTATTATTTTATTCAATCACTTATTTTCATCAAAAGATCAATCAAACAAATTAGGCCATAGACTAATATTCCTTCAATAAGATTATATTTACAACACAATTTGTTTTTGTTGATTCTTACATTATCTTTAATCATACAGAAATGTATAATATATGAAATAGCACTAATTTTTAACAAGCTTTTCATTGGTGACATTTATTTTTAATTTAAATCAATACTTATCTTCTTATCTTAAGATTATCATTTTTGATAACATTTCATGTTTAAGTTTAAAATTATTTAAAATGAAATATGGACTTGTAATACATCAAATATCATTAGAATTTTCTGAGAAATTCAATACTTTTAATAAATTTTGAATAACTCAAATAGGAAAAATATTATTTACAAAAACAATAATTTAAATAAAATATTTAGAATATTTGAATAAAAAATTTTAAAATTTTACTTGTTTTTAAAAACATTTCAGTTTGTAGTCAATTGTATGTAAAATATAGACATATTCATGAAAATTTCATCAAAATTGTATACTTTTTCTAGAAAAATATGAATATGTTAGAAATTGACCTAAAAGGGTAAAAAATATAGCATATTGTATAAAAAAATAGGAAAATTCATTTAATTTTTGAGTGGCTCCTTTTTTGGCCCAGAAGTGACATGAATATATCTACTTATGTTTACATATGCATGTTTAAGTCTCAGACATACGGGATTAAAGGAAGTTTCCAATACCACAAACAGTAAATAATAATTACTCCCACATCAATTAAAGATTCTTCAAGCAGGAAGGAATACAATAGCCAGTGATACGTAACATAAAACAGACGGTGTATTGTGTTTGCCTTGACCACCTGGCCATATTGTTTGTACCAGAAGCTGTTTGATTATCTGTTTGTTTGTTTGTTTCTCAAATGTCTCAACTACACTAGATATCAACAGCCTTGGTCTGGTTTTTCAGTGTCAACGAACCTATTAAGTTATGTACGATTTGTACTCTACTTCCAATAAATTTCCAGAGCCCTGTTAGAAAGGCCAGTTGGGAATCATTTATTGTGCTTGGGTATCACAGTTCATTTGAAATGGTATTAAGAAAATTGAAGGGTGTAAATATAAATAAGTTAGAAATCATGACTCATGTTTTAACACATTGAAATATTTTGTACTTGGCAGCAACCTACCATTTCAATTGACGTTAGTGATTGTGACAAAAAAATTTTACTGAGAAATATGTGTTTTCAATACTAATTGTCCAATAAATTTTAAATTTAACGCTTATTGCTGTTATATTTGAGTAAGCAAACCCTATTTCTAGCTAAACTGTTAAAATTGTACTGACTTTTATAAAAAATAAAAATAAAAGCAGTACCAGTAATTTTAGTAACCATAAAATTAGTTTAGTTTGAATTTATCATTATATCATCATAATAAGATGGAATCTGTGATCGCTGCACTATAGAGATAATCTCCTGCTGTCGCGACTAAATTATCAATATCTCACGACAAAGACATTATCACCATCTCTCGAGATTGCTGCAAAATCTGTATCAAGTAATAGCAAAACTGAGAGCATCTCCTGCGATAGCGAGATCATTGTCTCTTGCGATTGCGACAAAAATATATAAATCCCGACGATGCCCAGATATAATCATATTGTCTCCTTCAAATCATGTACATCTTGCACTATCCCGAGGACATCATTATTGTCCCCCACGATCTCGACAAAATTATTGATTGTTAAACTGAAACCCGACATTTTCTATCAATTCTTGGATTTAGTGTTTATGGGCAAAACCGACAACGGACTTTAAAAACTGAACCATCCCGGACTGATTTTGATCAATATATACGTAAATTTAAAGTTTTTTTTTTCATTTCTCTCTCATTGCCACCTATTAATCTGCTACTTAGTTACAATATGGTGTTAGTGTGAGAGAAATATAACATCAACCGAGATTGTTAATTGCTGCAAATGATGACGTTTACACTGCCGTGTGCCAGGTCTAACAATACATATTCACCATATACCTACTGCAAGCCTTGAATTCACCATACAGCTAGACATCCCATCGTCGTAGTTGATGAGCCACCGGCAGATTGTGCTGATTTCTGACAAACTCACAACATTTTTTACCAAGTTAATCTGGCTTACCAAGTTATTGCCATCAACAACCCAACAACAAAATCCCACAAACAAACCAGTTATTGTTGGTGTTTGTCTTGAGCTATAGCAACTGTTGTGATCAACTGTCACATGTCAGAAAAAAAAATAAGATAGGAAATTGAATTTGAGACACTAACACATTCTGTGACTAGCTTACTCCACTATGTTCTTTTTCAATAAAAAAAGAGATCTATATTAGATGGGATGTCTACTCTAGTATTCAATAATCAATTCTACAGGACAGTTTTGTATAAGAAGCAGTTCCCTACCTTTCCGCGGCTTCTTTGGCCAGCCCTGCTTGTCTCCTCCGAGCGACCGCTTCATTTCCGATGATCTTCCTCACTTCTCTCCCGCCAGACGACGAACTGTCTTCACCAGACAACTCCCCACAGTCTTTTTTTCTCCGAATTCTTCTTGTCACGTCATAATTTTCCTTCCCTTGGTCCAAATTCTTCATATTCATCATCTTATCCGACTCGTCCGGCTTGTTGTTGTTGTTTAAAATCAAAGACTTTCTCTTCTCCGGAGACTCGTTCGCTTTTCTCTCGCCTCTCGCTTGAGCTTCGACTTTATGCAGTAAATCTATCAGGTCTGAATTAGCGTTGGGTTTGTCATCTTCGCTGTCAGTTTCTGTTTCTTCGCTTGACGAACTTTCTTTATCCTTGGATACTTTGAGTATTGAATGCAAATCCTTACTTCTTCTGTCGGGCTCGGATATTTTGTTTTCCTTCTTCAAAACACTTCTTAGACAAGAGGTCTCACTGTCCTCGACAACGTCGGGTTTAGGGATTCTAGACGGAGATTTTAGAATACCTCTCTTCAGAGGAGACGAGGGCTCCTTCACAGATTCTGAATCTTCATCACTTTCTTGCGAAGGCTTTGGTTTTGGTCCAAGATTCTTCTCCGAGAGATTTTTCAGAATTCCAGACACTGTAAAAGAAACAAAAGTATGGTTTAGTAAATAGCTTGAGAAATATATACGTAGTAGAATATTTTTGTTAAGATTTTGTTTGTTAAAGACACAATACCCGCATTCTAAGCTTTACTTAACTTACAAAAAAAAAAAAAAAAAAAAAAAAAAAAAACTTCTAAAAATAGTTGTTATAATGTTTTACAAAGAGCTATTTATTCATTATTGGACAAGAAACACAATATTTTACAATAATGACAGAATAGTGTCAGGAGTACAAAACAGTAAAATAAGAACAAAGATTATGTAAATAAAAATAAAAAAGTGTCTGCTAATTTGTCTAAGCTGCAATGTCTACAATGTCTTAAACTGGATCGTACTTATTATCTGAATTGTTTATTGCATATTTTACAATACTAGGATCAAAATGGTTAACTTACATGAAACATCAAAAAACATTAACTGAATAGAGAATACTACTTTGGGTATTTAAATATCAGATTTTTGGACATAAAAAAAAATAAATACTGACGTTATACACACACAAACATCTACTACTGTACTAGTTTATTTGAACACATAAAATTAACACTTCAATTAATTGACAGGTTATCAACCAACAAAAAGGTTCTATATTAGGTTATGTCACAACGGAATTAATTGGTTTGTACAGAAAATAATACCCAGTTACAGTTAGTAACAACAATCCATCATTCATCAGCCCATTTAAGTACTGTTACAACAAAATTGAAATTGTCAATTTTATTATTTACAAAAACCCAAAAATTCTCTGTGTTACGGGTTATTGGATGAATTAATTAATCAATTAATTATTTGATTCATCCAAAATTTGAGAAGATTGGTAGTTTATCAATTTATTTGAGCAAAATATGTTGAGTTTAGGTTATAAAATTACTGTTTAAATCAACATGCAAGGTATAGTATGTTCTTTGACTAAAAATAGTATTTTTCATCACTAGGGCCTAAAGTGACTCTTTTTGACCTTAGGTCAAGTTTTACGATCGAGGCGAAGCCGAGGTCGGAAAATGTGCGAGGGTTAAAAAGTCACTTTTTGCCCGTGTGGTGAACTATATTTTTTGTCATAGAGAGGGAAAACAGAACTTTAACAGAAAAACGCTCTTTTAAGTTGCTCAAATCACCTATTTTCTTTTTGATAAAACTGGCTACCATTTAATACTACAGGTCTAAAATCTAGAATAACTAGTCTATTTTATCTGGTTAAATGACTAAGATGTAAATGTATTTGAACCATTTTCTGACCTGAACACACTAAAAGCATTGTATTGCAATAATGTCATCAATGATGAAATGTGCCATTTGAGAAATTATTTTACAACACTTCTATTTTAAACATTATAACTTAATGTAAACATTTTACTAAACCTGTTAATGATGTATCGAGTGTCAAAGAGATTCCGACAATCACTTAACTATAAAAACATAAAATTTCACCGAGAAATCTCTAACGAATTTAGAAAAACATCACTGAACCCTAAATGTAAAACATTGTTTCTCAAGGAAGATATTCATGCAAGAGAGTTCTTAAGATCCAAAACACACACCAGTGATACATTATACATGCATCATGCTACGATCCTTGACTATACAACTAGACATTCCTTCACCATAAAGTAGTCGCCACTTTAGAATCAAAATGGCTGTAGTTGAGTTGAGACACCGACAGAGTGCACTGATGTTAATTAATAATTACTCATACTTTAAATATGCCAATTTAACAAAGTCAAACTGAAAGAATGACTCATTGTGAGCTAGCGTCTTCTTTACAGAAACTCACTAACCAAAACTAAACGAATAAATTGAATTTCAAACAATAGCACACACTGTTGAGTGTCTCACTTAACTACAGTAGAACTCCAATTCTCTTAAACGATTTAGACCGCTCCACATTCGGATGATAACAATTGTTGATACAATTTGATTTTATAGAAATTAGAGTTTATTTAATTTAATATCAAAGATTTTAGGATCGAAAAATTTACGCTTTCGCCACAATCACAGTGGTCAATTATGATTTTCTGACAACGTCTGAGATGAAGACGATGTCTCTAAGACTGCGGAAGATGTTCAAGGTTTGACCGCGATCACGGAAAACAATGACGATGTTTCTGTCATCCCGTGAGACTATGATGATGTCAACAAGACCGTGGGAGGAATTTTTGATTTTGCCACGATCACAGCTTTTGCCTTCTTTAACGATTCTCATTATTGTGGTTTTCAGTTATTACAATTCTTTCTGCATAAGATAATTTGAGTTCTACTGTATGTTCCTTTAAACACAAAAACAGGGATCAGATGGTCTACTACATGCACTGATGCACACCTAGCACAGAGGAGGCGGACCGGGCCATGGGAGTCAGTTTCTGAGCGGTCTCCAGCTCCTCGGGTGTGATTGGCTGAGTCTTGTGTCGCTGACTGCGCGGGTTGAAGCGACAATTCACCGTCTTCTCGTTGAACAGTCTCACTCTCTCGGCCAGACTCAACTTGCTGGGGTCGTTTGGATCGTCGTCTTCGGCTTTAGACAACAACCAGTCAGCCACAACAACCAGAGAAGATCATGCGAGGACAAGTGAGTGAAACTGGGAGATATACAGATAGGTGCTACCAACGACCGTGTGGAACAATGTGCAATCAAAACTGAGTGAGGATATTGTGATTTAGGTTTGTAAGGAACTTGACATTTCTTTTGGCAAAAGGCTATTGATTGTATTGATTGTTGACCACAAAATTTGAAAAACTAATAATACACGTTAACGGGAAAATTCAACTACGATTATCTGTAAGGCGGCGTTGTGTTGGTTGTTTCGTTATAAAAATCATTATCCTGATTAACTGCTTACAGACAGGTAAAGTAATTTCCAATATCGACTTGGTCAGTACATGTTGGCACAACATTTTTTTAAATTGAATTTGAATAATGAGATACTAAGTAGTAAGATTGATAAACTGTGTTAGTGATTTGTAGAGAAAATCATTTATCGTGATCAACTGCCTTTAGACACCTCTAAAGCAATAATCCCGACCATGTATGCTTATGTATGTTATAAAAAAGTAAACTACTGTGGTGCTTGTAATGTATAAAAAATAAATAATTATGTAACCTCTTCATACATCTATAGGTACAAGTTTATTCAGCTATATTTATAACTTCCTTCCACTATTACAGTGGAGAAAAAAAATAAAAACTACAAGAAGTACTTTAAAACTTGAACTTTTAATGACATTTTTAAGTTACATTATGATGATTCCTCCAGTATGTGATTAACAATCAAAAAATGCTGAAACCGCTTTTCATAATAGAGATAGATAAAAGATAAGCAGTAATATTTAACAGTGAAAATATCCAGGAAAAAGACATTAGCAAAAATCATAACCATCATTGAGAAAAAAATCCAGTGCCATGACCGAACACCAGTGCTTATACAGTTGAGGTGATTGAAAACGGAACTACCATGCTTGTGTGAGTAATGCGAGACCTACCTGTTGCGGATTTAGAAGCCTCGTTGACTCGTTTGGCCTCTTCCACCTCATCCTGTGTTACAGGTTGTGTTTGGAATCTGGATGGATCCAGCCGGACTCTGCGGGAAGAGCTGCCTGTTGACAATGTAAAACTGTTAGAGAATAAAACTTCAATTAATGAAAGAATGACACTGTAATGGTTAAAGAATTCAAAGTTTCGAGGGTGACTGGGTTACCAAATGTCACTTGACGATAAACATTTTACATGAAAGCCAAATGGCTGATTAGGATATTTTAAAGGAGATGGAGTTCAGGCAGCTTACTTGAGAATGTTAAGAATCCACGGGCTAAAAGACAGAGAGTTACATCGCAAAACATAAACACTGATATTTCGTCCTATCATGGGACTTTTTTAGAGTAGGTACAAAGATAAATGTCCTCTTCCTAATCATGTACAACATTTCACTTCAACCTCCTCCCTTTATCAGGAGGAAATATCAGTGTTATGTTTTGTTTATAAAATTAAATATGGAAGAAATTGCACAAGATCAAAATTCACACAGCTATTCATCTTGCAAAAAAGTCCTGTGTTTTCGGTGAATTAATCAGACAACTAAGACTTTGATTAACAGATATTAATGTATAGCATGCAATCATTCTTAGGATTATTTATTTAGAGGGTGCGAGCTGGTCTAGTGGTTATAGCACAAGACTTCGGTCCCTGAGATCCCAGGTTCGAATCCCGCCAAATCACCTATGGATTTGATCTATTTGATTATGACGCAACCCCTAGGTCTAGACTGAAGCAACAATCCCAGGCTCGTACCTAGCATCTTAGGAACAAAAAAGTATCGATTCCAAAATTGTCACTGCAACATGACAATAACATAACGTACCTTTTGGTAACTTGTTCTGCGTGTCCTCTCGCTGCTGGCGGAGAGTCTCAAACATGCTGGCGCGCGCTGACACGCTGTTGCTGCGTGTCAGTGTGTGACCTTCCTCTTCCTCTCTCTTGCTGTCTTTGTCTTTGTCTGGGTCATTACGAGGCATATCTGACTCAGTCCTGGTCCAGCTACAACGCAACAGACAATTCAGTAGACCAAGGGTAACAGAATCTCTTTATCAAATAACAAAATCTTGTGAAAGCATGATTGCGGCTAAATAACGTTGTAAAGATATAGTATAGTCCATCACTCCTAAAGTAATTCTTTTGGGTCGAGCTGAAATTTAACGACCGAAACGAAGCCGAGGCAAGGTCAGAAATTGAGAAAAACAGAAAATTTTACTTATATTTTTTGTCACACTGCACCATTGAGGCTAAATAATTCACGAAATGTAAACTTTGAAAAGTTACTTTCTGAGATTCTTTTACAATTTGTCTACATGTTGAAAAAAATGTGTTTGTTGTAAAATATACAATACAACTCGATGAAACACAAAAAATCTGTATAATGATACAACAAGGCAACATATTTGTTATATGGGACTATTTAAATACATTTACTCTACATCTACATTTACTCTTATTTGTTCTTGAAACTATTTACATGGGACCCTCACAAAAAAACCTTATTTATGCTATTCTCCTCTTCTCTTTCTAATTTTCTATCACACATTTCTATCAGGGCATAAAATAACATGTTAACTGTCAGTGGTGTGATTTTGTTGCCCAGTGTCTATGGGTGGTGCCGGCTTAATTTTTTTTTTTACAATTCACATTTTAAATTTATCGGAATTTAAAAAATAACATCATGTTAATATTTTAGAGTATTAAACTATGATTTTAGCCCAATAAGCCCAATAAAGTGAAGGGAGCCTTGGCCTGTTACAACGTTCTAGAATACGTAAAAGTGAGATTATGTGGACTATTTACAAACAAATATAATCGAAAAATTAATTACAAGAAACGTGCATTCGCTACCACCCAGACACCCGGTAAGTCTGGCGCCACTGTCACCCATTGGAAATCCCTTAAAATATGCTCTGTTTTCTATAACTATTAATATAGTTTTTTTTAAAGTATCTCAGACAATATCCATAAAAAACAACTAAGACATACAATATGGCTCTAATGTGTAAAAAAAATAATTGTGTGTCAATATTAAAAAACAAAATTTAACAATCATGTAACAGTTACAGTTATTAAGTATTTGACTAAAATCAGTATCGGCAATTACTTATTAGCTCAATTAAAATAAGTAGAGTATGTAATGTTTCTTTGTTTTAAAACCACTTCCTAAATACACTATCAAATCGGCCAACACACTTTTATAATCAATTTTAAATGTCAGGGGACAGTAAACATAACAACAACATTACCTACCAGAACCACACAAGCTAGCTATCCTACCAAAGCATATGAATGAACAGTGCAAATACATCCTTGCCATTCAATTAGAACAATAATAATTTGTTAGCCTAAGATGTGTGATTAAACACCAAACTTATACATACAAGGGTGAGTAATCCTTATCTGCCATGATATATAAGGCAACTGGAAATAACCTTGGACCAGTAATGACACAAGGAACAACATTGTTGTCATTTATAAACAATTAGCGATACAAATTGATGGTCCGATTTCAGTTTAGTTTTAGTTGTGAGGTTAGCTTTTTATTCAATAATTGCTATGTTTTAAAACAACATAAATGTGCATTTAATATAAAATAATTTAAAAAACGGGTTTAAATTACCAAAGTTAAATCATAAGGTCCAAACAAGATTTTTAAATAATATCAAGGGAATTTTAAAAACATACTATTTTTTTAAGTTTAATATATATACTCGGATAAAATTCTTCTTACTAAATTGACAGTATTAATAAAATAAAAATTGTTTGTAATATTTAAAATTTTTAGCAAAACAAATAACTCAGCTAAAATGCATTTCCAACTCAAAACTATTACTTTTCCACAAGCTTAGTTTACCAAACTCTGTTGATTTTGATTGTTTTAAAATCACCAACAAAACACCTAACATACCGCTTAGCTAGGATAATCCTTCCGGAACTAAACACACGTATTCACCGACACATACACCACTACAACACAACAGCGTATGCAAGTGGAAGACCCAGTTTCTACTGTTGGACCGAAATAACTTTTGGCATCGTCACAAATCAGCGACTGGCGGTTTTCCCTACGACAGACTTTGTCATTTTACCCATTCGCGACTCGAGACTATAATGGAAGGCGCAAACCGTAGCTAGACTATTGGCTGGGATCCAGGGGGAAATAACACTAACAGTAACAGGTGTTTGGGTGTTTGACCTGTTGATGTCCAATGTTGTCTTGTGGCTATGGTTGAATAATGTTCAAAAACGTTTTAGAATATTTAAAGAGTTTTCTCTACAGAGAAGTTAAGTTTTCTTGTATGACAGAGAAATTGTGATAGAGAAAAAAACTTTCTCTCGAACCGAAGTCAATGATGTATCATAGAGCGCAAGACACTTTTTTAAGGTTACAGGCTTCCCTAACAATGAAAGAGTCCAATATGGCACAAGAAACCCAAACTTTACACTATACAAAAACACTTTATAAGTATAACATGTCTACCTTTAATTGTGCCGATTAATTAGGCTACTTGATAACTCAATGAAAATCAGTAGGTTATTTTTCTCATTTGTGTTCATGTTTCTTGTACCAGATTACACTCTTTTCCATTCAGGTAAGTTAAGCCTTTTTCCATAAAGACACCTTTTATCTAATCAAAATCCTTTCGTTTCACAACAAAATTTTTTAATCTAGAACTGTTAAAAATTCTCAACAAAATTAAATTACTGTACAAAATATTGTACATGTTAAATTAGAATAGGACAACAATACCACCGGCATTCCATAGATAACGGGAGAGGAGCAAGGACACTTCAGTCATGACCACGCAACTACCCGTGCCGCGTCGTAGTGTCCTGTACTGGCCAGTAGCTAGCAATGTTAATCCGTATTTTCGTGTTTCGTGTTGTATGTGTGTGTTTATATGTTTACCGACGACCTCAATTTGAGTGACATGACATTTTTGACAGCCTGATGATGGGATTTTTATCCTGAAACCGGTCGCCTAAGACGACAACAATAGGATCACTGACGGACAGGTAATATAAACCATTTATGTTAAATTAGTCAATACGATCATAGATGAGTTAAAAGATGTGAACAACTAACAAATAACTGATTGGTGGAAAATTATTGTTTGACACAAAACACTTATTTTTGTAAACTTGATTGACGGGCCTTAAATTTACATAAGCTACATTTTATTTGGGATTTGTTCCAATATTTATAATTTTTTCTACGATGATGTCGTTTCTGCAAGCATGGGAAATAATCACGATAGTAGCGATTACAGATTACAATAATACTAATAGTGCAATTAAGACAAAAATTGTTTTTTATAATTTTTTTTGCTATTAGCAAAAGTTTCTTCACAAGATTTAAAAAAAAAATTTGTTTCCCCTGATGCAATTGGGAAACAAGTCTCGTCGTGATCCTGTCCCGATAATCAAGAATAAACTGATAACCCCATCCCGTCCTACTCATGACCTGACTCACCTCAGCTCCTGCACTGTGATTGGCTGCGTCCTCCAACGCTCTCCGTCCCTCGTCCTCCTCGGCAGCGCTCCCTGACCTTCGACCCCTGGAGACAGTGACCTAGGTCTCTGTGAAGCTTCATTAGCCAAGACACTTTCCATGTTCATAATCATCTCCGCCACACTACACGAAGCTCTTGTCCGCGTCGTCTGCTCTGTAGTTCTCTCGCTCTCCTCTCTGAACCTCACCCAGCTGTCCAGTGACCTTCGCTTGACCGAAGTGTCCGGGTCAGTCCGTGACATCCTCCTCACCACACTCCTCTCTGGAGAACTCTCAGCTCGCACTGAGAGCACAGAGGGCTCCGCAACAGGCTCTTCTGTTCCGTTCAGTAGTGTCTCAAGACCGGTAAAACTACTTCTACCCTCTGAAACCCTGCTAGAACTCCTCGACTTTAAAATCGGTTTGGGTTTGTCCTCGCCCTCTTCTGTCTCCGAGCTGGATTTCTTTTTCAAAATCGGTTTCGGCGTTTCAGAAGACACTGGTGCTGGGGTGTCCTGACATTGTGGTTCTTCGCCGACGCTAGTCTTCTTTTTCAAGATGGGACGAACGTGATCGTCTGCTAGAGAGTCTTCTCCGGCCACTGCTAGTATCACAGAGTCTGCTATGGTCACGTGGACTGGACCAGGGGAGCCTGAGGTTTTACGTTTCAGGATGCCTTGAGGTTCACTGACTGAGGAACATTCTTCTGCCTGAAAACGAAAAAAAAACTGTTATTCAAACTTCAAACACAGAGTCAATTTAATAAAAACATAGGTAACGTTTTCACCAAACAGTTTTAATATTTGTTAGGATGCTAGGTTCTAGCTTGGAATGATTTGTCATACTACTTCAGGATAGGCCTAGCGGTTGCGGCATTATCACTTCGATAATATCCATTAGTGATTTGGCGGGCTTTGAATTCGGTACCTCAGGGAATGAAGTCCTGGGCTCTACCACTAGACCAGCTCGCTTCCCAAACAGATTTCATGTTGGATCTACATTGTGAAATAATAATAAACTAAAATAAATGTTTAAATTATAAATCTACATCACATTTATTGATTTTCTTGCTGTAGGCAGGGTTAAACTGTTGTAATAATTAATCAAGAGTTTGTCCTATTTATTCTAGGCGGTATTCAAAGACTATTGTAAAATATGTAATCATAACAATTATTATTCTTAATTAGAATTAAAATGTTGTCATGCTTCAGGCCAAAAATTAATAAATTGTAAAACTCTTTCAAATTATAATAATATGTTTTAAATACTTAAGAAAACTATTCATAACCTTTACACAATAGTTTGTTAATTCTTCACAGCAAAGTTATATTGGATATTTTTTGAGCTGAGACTTTTCAAAAATTATTTGCGTATCCAAGTAGTTATAGTGCTTGTCTTCAAATTCGAAGGTAGCTGGTTCAATTCCAAGCAAAGATTTCTGGACACAAATAATATCTGCTTTTTTAATCACACTATCTAACAAAAAGTTTGACATTGAATCATAGCAAGACCAAAGTTCACAGTGTTCCCTAACAGAAAACGTTTAGAATGCCAATAGCGCAGAAACACAAATAAACTACTGGTATAGTTGACACAAAACAAATCAGTTTTAGACTTGGGGACAGAACAATAAAAAAGAAAGTTTATCTGTAATGCACTGTAAACAGTGGCAGTCTGCTGCCCTAATGCTATGAATAGTCCACTAAGGTCAGGTCCTGGGTGCTGGCCAATGCCCATCTATAGACCAGCCTATCAATCTAAACACAACAACAGAATGCTGCGGTTATTTTTGTCCAAACTACTTTTATAGTTTATTTGTTAGTTTGGTTTATATAGTGGGGGAGTTTTAAGAACAAACAGTTCCAAATCTAGTTTTATCAAGTTGAGTACCTAACCTTAGTGTTGTGACTCTGACAAATGACAAATGGTGTGTAACATTTAAGATTGGCATTTCCCCAGATATTTCTCATAGCCACATGTTAAGCCCAAAAACTGAGTGTTTATCAAATTATTTTAATCTGTAAAAATCTACAATTGAGTAACCTGTATTGAACTTTTTAACTTTAAACAATCGTTGTGTTATTGAATCAATGAAGGCTGTTTTTAAAAAGGGTTTGATGGATCAAATGGCTAAGTGATGATATTTAATAAGTTTTAGATGTATCAGACCTACTGTATAGCTTATTCATTAAATGGGCTTATTCGTTATATGAGCAATTTACTAAACTTACACAGCATCTTAGCCATCGTCAATGATATTTATGTCTGTGTTCCTAAGTCAAATAAAGCTATATTATTACAGCAACTGAGATTCCTACCTCTTCTCTACTTGTTTTGCGCTTGAGTATACTGGTCGGCTCTGGACTCTGAGTTCTTCTTCTCCTTACCTCCTCTAGAGAGCTGCGTCTCTGATGCTTCAGTATAGGCTTGTCCGGAGAGGCACTACGTCGCATCATCACACCGCTACCATCATCTAAACTGCGGTGCTTCTTGAGGATCCCTGCCATCCACACATCTTAGATTAATCATCTACTGTATATATTGAGCTATTACACCTTCTACTAGCATTACCGTAGAGTCCGCTATTTCCAAATATCTGTCCAAAAACTGTTTGAATTGACGAAAATTCAGAATAAGCCAAATTTCATTAATCGTATCAGCGATATGATGACCAAATCATCGGAATCACAGTTCATGTTTCTGTACTATTGGTGTTAGGATTACTAATTATGATGATGTGTCATCGTTCATAAAACATGAAAACCGCATCACAGCAATCACAAGAGACGATGACAATGTTTCTGCAAACATTACCAACAGCACATCGTGTCGCTAAGTTTGGCCATATTGCTCCTTGACAACCACGGCAACATGATATTGCAAGCTTTTCTGACATTTGCAGAAACATCGCTAGCTTCCAAAATGTCCACGGTGACATAATTACCTGAACTTAAGCTCAGAATAGACAAATTTCAGAATATGTTGATTCAGAATAGCCAGACTTTAATGTATCACGGATAAAAAGGTTAGCCTAAGCAACAAGAGTCATAATGTTTTAGGTATGTTATGTCTGCAAATCAATTAATCCTCAAATGAAACTTTGACAAAAAACATACCCAGTTTATTTGGACTTTTAAGACAAATGTGTTGCTTTATAGGTTTTAATCATTAAAACTTGTATGTCTTACCTTGTCTACGAGAAGAAGAGGGCTCAATAACAGACGGAGAGAATGTTACAGGTTGGGTCATTGCTGATGAACCTAAAACAGAAAGTTTATTTTACATTAAGATTAAATTTAAACACTATCATAATAACAACAGTGTCTGCTACATTTGCTATTTTAACCGTTCAAAGCATTAAACAGTTTTGTTTTAGACAAATCATCTAATATCAAAATATTGTGAATTTAAATTGAACAAATTAAGTTATCTTTTTATAGGCCTACTTGGTAATTGCCTTATTGTTTTTGATATTTTTGTTCAGTAGTCACTGAGTGATTATACCAGCGACGGTGATGAAAGTAAACCACAGCCCACCAAGCTCGATAATAATTCATTACATTCTAACTGTTGAAGTTACATTAGTTTGAACTTAAATTCTACTATTCTGCACGGTATACCGAGTGACTTACCTTCTTCTTGTGATGTTTTTCTCTTCAATATCGAGACGGGTTTCCCCGCAGTGGATGTGACAGTCTGACTGCTCGTCTCGTCTACACTCTTCTTCTTGAGGATGGACGACGGTAGAACCACCACATCAGGCAGGTCTGCCGCAGCGGGGGGCTCTACCACGGTGGAACTACAACACATGAAGTTATATTTCATTACGGTTTCTATAAAGATTCATAGCAAAACCCCCGGAACTGCAATATTGAATAATATGAATTTACAATACGAGCAAGCTGTTCCAACCGTAAAAAACATTACATCTTTTGGCAGGAAGTAAAAGAAAACTGCTTGAGAAGCTTTGTTGATGGTTTGGATAGACAACTTGAATATGTTTTGCACAGTACAAGCATCATGAAAATAAATACTCAATGTGATAGGCCTATCATGGAAAAAACATTTAATATTCACAAATAAGAACTGAAGCTAGTAGGGTATTTTAACCTAATATCATATTCATAGTAAAAGATGCAGTAAGTATTTGAACATTTGAAGCATTTGAATAAAAAACGTCACTAAACTACATCATATGCTCTTTATTGTCCTAGTTATGTAAGCTAACATTGTAAAAACCCGTTTAAAAGGTTATTCAAATTTATTATCAAATATGATATATAACACAAGTTTACCAAATATTTCCAAAATACCTCTAAAACAAGTTTTTGATATATTTTTATCCTTGCAATGTTGAATCCCTGCAATTTTATGAAAACTATATTTTTTGAAAACATTATAGACTAAGATATTTAAGAGAGCTAGTTTTTAGAGGCACAAACGTTGTTTTAGGAAACAGACAATTAAGATGAAAAATTATTCAATAATCATGACATCTAAAAGAGGACGAAACTATTTTAAATACAACCTTGACAATATTTTTCAGAGTACAACCGACAACTCACACAACATAGCGAGAATAATTAAACATGTGTTCAACATGACCTATCACTTAACACGCAAGCAACAAGCTTCGTGAGGTTGTGTTATCGCCATTGAACTAACTGATACATGGAAACAGGTGATAACGTAGTACCAACACCAACCACTGGTGTCATAGGGAAAATAAACAGATAGGCCTACGAAAAAACTCTTTGATTGGACCATTGGCATTTTAACACTTCAGGTTATACAGGGTGTTCCATAAAACAACCAATCACCAGAAAATGGTTCTATGGGTCAAAATAAAAATAAATATCAAGAATGAAATTTTTCCCAAAAACAACCAGATAACTGCACTTTTTAATAAACTTTCAATCTTTCAAATTTTTCCAACCTGTATTAGTATATTATATTCCGGGAAATTAGGAAGAGTCCGGGGAGCGGTGTGCCTCATTTTGCCTTATATTTTACGACTAAAATCCAACAATTTGTCATTTGATATCTTTGAACTTGGTGTTGTTTGATAGGAAATTATAAAAGCTAAATAAAAGGGTTCTTGGGTTTTTTTCATAAAATTGATCACTTTTTGTTAATTAATCTATAAAACTAAGTTAGCTGCCATTTTAAAATTTAAAATTGGACACACTTAATTTTTTTTTTATATCACCTTAAAGTTTTGTAAAGATCAGTTGGAAAAATGCAAAATTAAGTAGTTTATGTAAAAAAGCAAAATAAATATTTTATTGAAGCCTTTTTGGAAAAAATCATCACTGATTTTCTCTTTATTTTGACCTACAGAACCATTTCTGTGAGATTAGCTGTTAACTTACAAGACACGCTGTATATTTCTTGCCTAGAAAATGATTTAAGTAGGCCCACTAGTATAAATATGCCAAGAGGTCTTGGAAAAAGTTATATAATTTTACCAATATGCCTCCCCAATCCAGAATTAAGAAAATATCTACAAAATTTTGTATAAAAATACTTACCGACAATTACAATTTGCAGTGAGTCTTTTACGATATGAAAACCAATCTTTACTTATATTCCTGCTATAAAAGTTATATAATAATAAACTTTCAAATTAAATTTCCAACGATATAACCAGACAGTATAAGTTGATGGTAGTGGGCGGCAGGTGGGAAACAGAGAGCGGAGATGGAAAAGTTACTTGAGATTAGCTTCAGTAACAAAGTCTGCAAGTAGCTTCTGACGTTTCCCCAGACTTGGATAACGAGTTGGTTAATTTGCGAGCCTATTTACATAACCTTTTCAATGTTTTACGTCAAAGTTTACAATCCAAACAATGTTTTTATCCCCTGTTTTCTACCCGAGTAGCATTTCAAAAGTTAATTTAATGGTCTCAATATTGTTTTATGGTATTTTTTTATTAGCCTATTTATATTCATTATTAGGGAAATTAAACACTAGCAATGGTTCTCTGAAGCCTCAATGTTGAAATATATCGGCTACCTTCACAATTAATATTATGTAAACCAAGGAAATTTTTTGAGGTAACTATTGAATAAATAAATAAATAAAACTATATATTATATAAGTATAAAATTAAGTTAGGTAGGTTAGGTTGGATAGAGAGTAATTAGTAATTAGGTGAATGTAGACATTTGGGTGATTTAAAAACAAACATTGTGTAATTAAAACACATTGCCACAGCAAAAGTCAAATATACCTTAAAATTAAAATAATTATCCTTGGCAATTTAGGAACTTTAAAACATGGTGCTATTTCGTGTTACCGTACGAGACAGCAATAAATAAGGTGAAAAAACACCCTGTAAAACTTAGTTGAAAAATCCTTTTTGTTTTCCTTATAAGTAGTAAAAATCACCAAGGTTTTCTCTTTTCAAGAATATTATTGATTGGACCGCTGTACCCTAAGCAATATGGGAGAGAACCTGAACATAAGTATTTTACCTGGCTTTCAGGGTCACTACCCTAGCAAAGAGTAGGCTATATTACCCGGATTATAGATCATTTTCATGTACGCATTTAAGTCAGCATGTAGCATTCAAGTAACAACTTGACCAACATATTTATCAATGCACCGTTCACTATTATCTTGAATACACTTCAGCCATCTTATGATTTTTTGCCCAACTAGAACAAGGTAAAACAGAGAGTTTTGCTATTGTATTGGTAGACATCTACTGACCTGGATCTAGGTCTATGACGAGGAGACTCTCTAGGCGGGGTCGTCCTCTTGTTCCTGGCCGAGTTGTGGCGGGGACTGTCAGTCTCCGGGGCTGAGGTCGGAGCAGTGACGGGGGGCGAGCGGGGCCCAGGACTGGACAGTACCAGACTACGACGTCGCCTACTGGCATCTTCTGTAACGAACATAAAATTTATCACCAACTAATAGGAGAGATAAGTGGCATAGCATGGAAGCAAGGGGGAGGGCAACTAGTAGGCCTAGAAGAAAAGTATGAGATCGGTGGACTGTACATAAAAAAGGGAAGAATCTCAATGAGCGAGCTACTTGATTTTTGTGGTGAGCAACTTCTTTTGAGGGGAGCTAAGAGTTTGCCCGAGTGACTGAGTACCAAGTCAGATCAATTCGAGCAGAGTTGAACTTTTATTCTTGTGATCAAGAAAGCGATGAGAGTAAATGTCTTCAAAGATGGTGGGATCCAAGATATAAAATGTCGTCACAATTGGGGTAGACAATAATGGAGTCTCTAAAATCACGAGTGATGATCCTGATGTCACGACGATCGCTGTAGTTAATCAGATAGTGTAAATTTCAGGCTCGCAAACCTTTTGTAGAAACTGTTAAATAAACAACTTAGGTCCTACTAACCCTGTGCCAAATAGTGTCTACCACAGGTGCCAAAAAACCTTGCGCTAATGGAAATTGCTACATGTTACATTATACAACCAATTGCCACGATTTATGGCATCAGCAGCTGATGGGTGTGAAAATGGAGATGCTTTACAGATTAACAGTTATAAGATTAACAAGTTTAGGGGGTATGGGTAACCTAGTGGTTAGCGACATGGACTTTGGTAAGAGAGGTACAAGTTTGGTACTTGCCGCATCAAAAAAATTGAGAGGAAATAGGACAGCTCCCCCTAAAAACTTTTAATTTTCACAGTTACAAAATGCCACTGGCTAGGCTTATCACGTTTTATGTCGTTTTTTTTTATTTTGACAAAATTAAAATTGGTTGAAAACAGGAGTGAGTAAAAAAATCGTCAGTACATATAGATGGGCTATTTAAACAGGAAATATTTTCAATATGCCATCCAATCAATTGATTTGGGTAGGTAATTATTGGTGATAGACACAACAAAATTGTTTACTTATATTTTTGCTCAAAGTACTGCAGTATCGTGATAATTTTAATAATAAAAGTACCTTTTTTAGAACAGCATTTCTCCTTCACAAAATTTAGAGATGACAGATTATGATCCTGATCGAAATTCAGCATCAAGTACGACGCATTTAACTTGAACCTCAACATTTTCGAAGTTCAATGTAGCACAATAAACAAATTTAAATTATTTACACTCACTAAAATAACCTCAAAATCACATCAAACGAAGCGGCAACACAAATCACTCAAATCAGCTGTTCCGTTCAACCAATAGTTGCGTCGAGTCCCGACCGCAGCGCCACTATCAACTGAACATAGAGTAATCTGGTGGTAATTTCGCACGACATATCGTTGAATATAATCCCGTGACCAAATTAGGACCGAGGTGACAAGGACGGGTCTGGATATTTGCCGGGTTTGTTTATATCGCTAGTTATGCTGTTGCCAAACACAGATGCAAATGCAATCCCAACGTGTTGCCCCGCCCAAGGTCTTCGCCCCGGTGGTCGATGTCCCGCACCTTCCCTGCATGGTCATACAACTGGGCTGGCCTTAACGGGATGTGAATACGAATATTACTCATAATATTAAACGTGACAAACAGTTATGAGTGTAAAGTGATTTTGTAATCATGGATAGGCTTAAGCATAGACTAAACCTATGTTTTATCTATGGCTTAAGTAATCAAACCAGGTTAGTAATGTAAAATGAATTTTATCATTGTGTATCTTCTTCCAACACATTGATAAATTCACTAAACATTACTCAAATGCTTAAAAATATCCTTTTTAAACGATGATAAATACAAAAATAATTTGAAAATCAGCAGACGTGTATTACAATTAAAATGTCCTAAATTTTTTGTACATTTTTTGACAGCCTGGGACGAGGACATTAGCTGTGCATTTTTAAAGCTTTAAATATTTCATCCGCTGATTTTGCCAAAGGAAACAGTCCCGATTACAAAATACATGATTGTATCATTATAAAAATTTTTCCTGTTTAACACCGAGTTAAGTTTTATATTTCATTTAACATTGTTAATTTACCCTGCATCGTCATTATGACAAACTTTTCTGATTTGAATATTTATTATTGTCTTGACGGAGTCGGGAGTAGTACGTGTTACTTTTAGATAACAGTTACAGCTGATTGTATAATAGCAAAACAACAAGTAAATAATTTGAGGGATGATTTATAAAGCACAATATGACGAAAATTATTGTTCATCACACGAGCAAGTGTGTTTTTTTCGACTTTCGCTCATCCCTTTGAGCTCGTGACGATTACCGTCACTTTTTGTCCTTAGTTATGAAATATACTACTTTAACAAAATTAGCCTACAGTAATAACTTTTGTGTAGGTATTTCTAGTAAATTTCTTCTCTCAATTACGTAATCTATTGACTTGATACTTCGCCCGTGCATTTGTATACGTTTATAGTTCAACTATAGCAAACAATAACAGCCTAATCATTCCTAAACAAACAAATTTAAATATTTATACAAGTTATTAATTATCTAATCTCATTATAGGAAGTTTTACAAGGGATAAAAACGTGCTTGTAGTTTGTGGTATATTCATAAAATGTTGAGGAAACATTAAATAAATAATTTTAATACAAGATTCAACACAAAACCTCAAGATCACAAATATTCAATTTGTTTCTTTACACCATTCCATATTTCTTCACAACACTAAGTGCTGAGATAGATAAAGTAAACACGACAAAAAGTAGTTAAAACGACCTATATTAGTTTTTTTAATCGCATTCTTTGAGCCGAGCTGAGCTTTAAAACCCAAGACTAAAAAAGTCATTGAAGATATGAAGCTTGGAGTAAAATTGAGTAAAAGACCTGCTTCGTTTATATTTTTCAGATATATTTATCACTAGCTGTAACCCGCGGGCTTTGCCCCGTTTAACTTCTTAATTTTCAAGATTATCTCGTTCGCATGGCTCAATCACGTCCTGGTTGAAGTTTGTTCGCTACGCTCACTCACCTTTGGGTTGAAGTTTGTTCGCTACGCTCACTCACCTTTGGGTTGGAGCTCGTTCGCTACGCTCACTCACCGTTAGGTTGGAGCTCGTTCGCTGCGCTCACTTGCCTTCAGGTTAGCTCGTTCGCTACGCTAACTCGCCTCCAGGTTGAAGTTCGTTCGCTACGCTCACTCACCTTTTGGTTGCAAATTAGCTGTTGTCATAAATGTAAAAGAAATAATAGTGCTGCACCCTGTTGGTAATCCTTGTAACTTTAATGCTATTGAACATCACAGAACAGAACCAACTTGTTTAATTGAAACAGCTGTAAGATTGAATAATTCCATTTCTCATAGGGTTAACATGGGAAACTCCAGAGCCACTGGGGCGGAGCCCGAAAGGATTTTTGAAATAAGAATATGCCTATATGTTAATCGGGAATGTGAGCTATCATCATGCCAAATTTCAGCCCAATCCGACCAGTATTTTTCGCGTTCACTTGTCACAAACATACATCCATGCATCCATACATCCATACATCTAAACTTTCTCATTTATAATATTAGTAGGATTACAATGTATAATGCTATCTTGTTTGTCCTATACAACATATACTGGCTAGTAAAACAGCTGATCTTAGTCAGTAACAAAGCTATGCAGATCATTTCACACCATTCTACGCACCTAGGTGACGTAACTCAACTAATAATAATTCATTATTTCCACAATAATTTCCTAAATAACAATGAACTCATCACCAAAAATAAACATTAAAACAATGTTGGAGGTTAGCATAAGTCTGCTTATTATTCAGTGTAAAATTTCGAGGGAGCGAAAAAACGAATTTTAAACTGAACCACAAACAATCTTTTACAAAAACATGATAAAATTACCCCAAACAGCTGCATCAAGTGAAACCCACAGCCCGGACGTACGACACAGCAATATGATCATAAGGGCAGTGATAAGTCTCGGGTACTTATCACAACTGATCACCATTGTTGTAAATCTCACATTCCCAGTCCCGATAAGCATGATATCTAGTGAATTATTAGCCTATGTAGTGCAGTATGCATTAATACTGTATCTATGTAGGTCTAATACATGCTTCGGAGAGGGTAACCATCGACTATTGGATACTGGAATTGACATTCGATCTATACAGGGTGTCCCATAAGTAAAGTGCCAAACTCTGGGAATAGGTTCTATGGGTCAAAATAAAGAGAAAATCAAGAATAAAGTTTTTTTCAAAAACGCTTCGTTTACCAGATATCCGCCATTTTGTATTTTTTACTAAATAATTTATATCTTCTGATTTTTTCAACCGATCCTTATAAAACTCGGTAAGTATGTTTAGATAAAAGAGACATACTGTAGAAAAAAAATTCAACTTGGTCCAATTTAAAATTTCAAAATGGCGGCCATTTTGAACATTTAATCTAAAATTACGGGAAAACGGTAAAAAATACAAAAATGTACTAAGAACACTTTTTTTTATAAAATTTTATTTCCAATCTATCAACACCAAAAACATGAAAATCGAACAAAAAATAACCGAGATACATTAAAATGTGTGTTAAGAGGCAGCAAAAAATCCATTTGTTGTAAATAGCCCCAATCAGCTGAACAGCTGATTGAAAAACATGTGTTTGTTGAGTTGCATTGTTGCATTGTTGTTATTATTGTTCTGTTTACTTTAAACATCATCATTGTGATCAGGTTAGGTTGATATTTTCTAAGTTTATTTAAATGCCGAACCATAGCTATTCTAATGTCGAGCTAGCTGATATTCATTTTTTTTACGGCTTAGGTAATGGGAATTCGCGTGAGGCATGCCGCCTTTACGCAGAAACGTTCCCCAACCGACGAATTCCGTGTAGGAAAGTGTTTGTAAATGTTCACAGGAATTTGAGGGAACGAGGAACACTAAAATTCACTGAGAAGACCGGACGGGCTGTTTCTGTAGATACATTAAATAATCAAGAAAGAGTTTTGACGGCCGTGGAAGAAGACCCAAGTACTAGTGTTAGAA